AGAAGCGGTCCGGTATGAGCAGCATCAGCACATGCTTCCTTGCCACGCAAACATGCCCCACTCATCTGCAGAAGACACTTTTACATGCTGAGACAGTGGGAAAGGAGGCCAAATTATTCATCATGTTTGTCAACAATCCCCATGGGATTTTGGTTGCAGATAGTTTCTGGGGTGTGGCCTTTCCTGTGTCAGATTGTGACTGAGGCACTCAATGCATTTCAGATATTTTTAGGAAACTTTTTTTTTTACCCCGAGCTGACTCAAAAAAAAGAAAGGAAGGAAGGATGAAAGATTTTGAAATGCTAAAAGAAAATGCAAGCTCATATAATGCCAACTCTTCTGTGCACTGATTTGCTGTTGCTAAGAATCCATATAACACTTTCTTCTATATCATGCAGTGTTATCTACCTTGCCTATTAAAAATGCATTAATGTAGTTTTGCACAACAATACAGATTTTGCATACAGGAGAAATTTAAGTCACGTTTATCACAGCAGCTGTAGCTTGGCCACACTGTATGCATACTAAAGAACTGTATGATCCAGCTATACAAAACTCTGCATTACTCTTATGAAGATGACTTTTGTACCTTCATATCTGTAACATGCAGCCAACACAGGTGTGGTGTAGCAGTCATGATTTTTATTTTCCAGATTTCAACTGGTTTAGAGAGTCTCAAACACAGTGGCAACAGATCTAAGGATTGGCCTCTTTAGTGGATTTAGGCAGAGAGCAAATAAATTGAGACCTCTAGAGAGTAGTCAGGGTGCCCACGAGGTAGAACAGTTATGAAATATTCAAGGCTTGTGCAGATAACATCTGCATCTGAATCCTACACACACATCCATTTTCTAACCTCTGCAGATGGGCATTCTGGTAAATGGCATTTCAAATAGTCATTCATTACAGAAAATGTGACATTTGAAACAGAGACATCAGGCAAACTAATGGGATGGACTGAGTGAGACCTTCTGGACTCTATTCCCAGGGTTCCCACTGACTTAGCGTGTAGCCTTTGTAAAGTCACTTTCTCAATGTGCCTCAGTTTATCCAACAGGTCAACTCCACCTAATGCAAATATTAATGTTTCAGAAATGCTTTGATCTACAACAGTGGTTCCCAACCTTTTTTTGTGACCTGCTGCTGGAAGTGGAGTGCAGCGGCAGCAGCAGCCCGGGGGCAAGGGAGCTCCTGCCATGCAGCGCAGCTTGTCGTTTGTGTGTGGCGCTGCCGACACTGCCCCTGTAACTCTCCTTTGAGTCACAGCCCAAGGTTGGGAACCGCTAATCTAGAAATACAAACTATTATTACTAGTCCTTACAGAGAGCAGCTACCCCTATGCTCCATTTGAAATATAAGTAAAATACATTATGGACTAGATTGCCAACAACAGTTATTTATTTTTCAACACTGATTAGAAAACTACCTCAAGAGAATTTTATTCATTCTCTTTTTCTCCAACCACCAAAAATAAGTCCAGGATCTGAGAGCAACCAGGAGGGAATTTAGCACATGAAGAATCTCAGTAACTGCTACCTGTCCTAAAACAGGGCTATACTTAAAGTGCTTTGTGACCCAGAAGTATTATACTTATAGCACCACAAAATTAAAAGCTGCAGGAGAATAGAGAATAAAAAACAAATAAAAACATGAGCTTACAGGTGCATTTCTATTTAATGACTGAAAAAACATAGGTTTTAAAAACAAAATACAGTTTTAACAGAGCTTTGCTTTGGGTTTTCAGCATATAAATATTTCACATAAGAATCTTCCAAAGGGTACTATTTTAAAACAAAAAGATGCCAAACATGACAAAATAAAAGTTCCTACAAGCCATTTCATTTATTAGACTGCTTTGTGTTCACGTCCCCTGCTTGTCAAACTCCTCGACACTCCCAGTATGGTAAACACATAATAGATACGCTGCTGCTTGTGCTGTGGACTTAATCTTTCTAAAAGAAGCTGTGCAGCACTGGCAGGGGAAGGAAAAAACATTTTTACCAACCTATCTTAATTTTACCTGCTATTCTCCATCTTGTAATGATATGCATCTTTCATGTACTTCAGTCATTCTACTCAGGTTTTTGCTTCTTTCTTTCCCTGCAATACACTAAGCTAGCCAATGCAGTGCAAGATTTTTATAGGTGGTAAAAAGTTTATAACTGAAACATTTTAATAGTGGAGGTATTTTAAAATCAATTTCAGATGGGTTGAGAGAGATTATTGGTTTCTTTAACATATAATAAAAAGTATAGCTCTTGCTAAAAGCTCTGACCTTCAGAAAGTAACAGCATTTTAATTTAATCCATTTTTCATACAGACAAGAAAGCATTTTTAAATATTTAAACAAAAATTAGAAGGGGTGAAGCAAAGGTGGTGCACATATTTAGAAACACTTAGACAAGAGGTAGGCTCAAGACTAGACTGTGTTATGGGTTGGACAGATTAATACTTCATACAGAGATGAAAGGAGAAGTTTTTTAAAAGGTTGTGACAAAATGAGAAAGATTCCAAGTACCAAATAAAGAGCTAGGATTTTGAACACCCTGAATTTAGAGGTTGTACAAGTCTGGAGCTTTCATTCAGACTCACTGCTACATAATAAGCAAGGAATTCATATTGAAAATTGAGATCATCTTTCTTGATTAACTTCTTAAGATACCTCAAATATTGATTGTAACACACAGGCCATCTAGAACAGACTTACAAAGTCCAAGTGTGAGATCTGTCTCATTTATTTGCTTTAGATGTGTTTTTTAGAATACTTAAACGCTATAAAAAGTTCTCTGGGTTATCCCTACTCTTAAGTGACATAAAATCATGTTGAATGTCAACCAGGAAGACTAGATAACAAAACGAGCTTTGACACCACTGTGTAGGGA